CCCCCCACCCAACCCATCCCACCTCACCACTCACCCCCCCCCCACCGCCCTCCCTCCCTCCCTCCCCCTCCCCCTCCACACACACAGCATGGGATCATGAGGGCATCGACCACTGGAAGATCGATCCGTGGGAGGAGAATGAGGGCAAGCCGCTGCTGGAAGAGTCATCGTTTGCTACGCTTTATCCTACATACCGTGAGGCCTACCTTCGAGAGGTCTGGGCCCTCGTCACCCAAACGCTCGAGGCGTATGGCATCGGCTGTGTTCTGGACGTCATCGAAGGCTCCATGACCGTCTTTACCACCATGAAGACCTCCGATCCGTACATCATCATCAAGGCCCGCGACTTTATCAAGCTCCTTGCCCGCTCCGTCCCCTTTGAGGTTGCCAAGCGCGTGCTCGGCGACGACACCGCCTGCGACATTGTCAAGATCGGCAACCGCGTCCGCAACAAGGAGCGCTTCCTCAAGCGCCGGAAGCGCCTGATCGGCCCGCAGGGTCAGACTCTCAAAGCGCTGGAGATCCTTACAGAGTGCTACATCCTCGTTCAGGGCAACACCGTTGCGCTCGTGGGTCCCTTCAAGGGCCTCAAGATCGCCCGCCGCATTGTCGAGGACACTTTCAACAACGTCCACCCCATCTACAACATCAAGAAGCTCATGATCAAGCGCGAACTTGCCGCCGATCCGGCCCTCGCCGAGGAGTCGTGGGACCGCTTCCTGCCGCAGTTCAAGAAGAAAAACGTCAAGCGCCGCAAGCCGCACAAGGTCCGCGCCAAGGATCCCAACGCCTACACTCCGTTCCCGCCTGCGCAGCTCCCGCGAAAGGTCGACATTCAGCTCGAGACTGGCGAGTACCACCTCACAGAATCTGAGCGCGCCCGCCGCGACAAGGCTGCAAAGGCCAAGGCCGCTGCTCAGGCTGCAGAGAACGCGGTCGCCCGCCGCAACAAGGACTTCAAGGCCCCCGACGAGTCGGCCCGCAATGATGCGGCCACCGCCGCGCCCTCGGCATCCTCCTCCCGCTCCACCGTAGACATCGTCGCCGCCATCAAGAGTTCATCCTCCAAGCGCAAGCGCGGCGACACCTCTGTCGGCGCAGACCTCGAGGCCTTGGAGGCCGAAGCCGCCCGTCCGTCCAAGAAGCACAAGTCCAAGGACAAGGCCAAGTCAAAGTCCAAGGACAAGTCAAAGTCCAAAGACAAGGCCAAGTCAAAGTCAAAGTCAAAGTCCAAGAAGGAGTAAATCATTCCCATCCCTACTCTCCTTCTCTTTACCACGGCGCGCACCAGCCCTGGAAGCAGACACACAGGTTCTCGTGCGCCGTCGCATCGCGGATGAGCCGGTCGACCTGCTCGCTGACACCCAGCTTGACGCCCGGGTCAAAGTCGCGCCCAACGAGCTTATCCGCCACCCGGTCCACCACCCGCCGCGCCTTGGCGTTGAGGTCGGTCCCGCCGGCGCCGGCGTCCACGTTGAGCCGCCACGAGACGAGCGGGTCGTGGATAAACGCCTCGAGCACCGCCATCAGCGAGTCGCGGTTGTTGCGCAGCAGCTCCATCACGTCTTCGCACGTCGCCCGGAAGTTGCCCTCGATCCCGGCCACGTGCATGGCGTTGACCATAAACCGCGTCAGCCGGAACGGCACCTTTTCCGCGTAACGCTCGCGGAGCATCGCCACTTCGAAGCAGTCGCCGTAGTCGACGTGGAGCACCTTGCCCGACCACCGGTCAAACATGATGTTTGACGGGTGCCGGTCGCCGAGCCCGAGCACGTACCCAACCATCGACATCACCGCCAACGACTGCGTGTACGCTAGCCGCTTCTCGTACCACACCTCGGCGTTCGGCGACTTGAGCCAGAAAATGTTAGCCAGGTCCTTGCCGTCTGTCGCCTCCAGCGCAGCCTCAAACGCTTCCAGCTTTTGCACAACCGTGAGCGTGTCAAACTTGGACGGGCCCATGTCGCGCATCACCGCGTGCTCCTTGTCCAGCGGAATCCGCCGCTCCCGCCGATACTCCTTCATCAGCGAGTGGAACGTGTCGTAGTCCGCCACCCACCACAGCAGGCCCGAGTTGGGCGAGAGCGGAATGACCTCGTACGTCTCGATCGACAGCCGCTTCCGCGCGGTCACCGCCTCGGTCCCCAGCAAGAGATTAACCAGGTGGAAGAGCTGCATCGCACGCGCGTCCTGTCGCAAGTCTTCGTGCCCCTTCAGCAAGTACCGGTACCGCAGCCCGTCAGAGCCGCGGATGCTCAGCTGCCGCGGCCGCTGTTTCGATTGGATGATCGCCACAGTCGGCACAAACGACTCGATTCGCGCCAACTCTGCCTCACCCGCACGGTACACGCCGGGCACCGCCAGCGACAGTCCCGACAGCGCCCGGAGCTCAGGCGACGTGTGCTCCAGGTTGAACGACGTCTGCAGCGGAAGCTGCTGCTGAAGCTGCCGGAACACGTGCAGGTACGAGTCCCAGGCCCGCGTCAAGTCGTCCTCGGCCTTGGTCACCATATACCGCCTCACAAGCTCGTACGCGTCCTTGAGTGGCTTGCCAAAGCTCTGCACAAACGCCACCTCGTTGGTCGTCCGCGGGCCCGCGGCCATCATTCGGTGCAACGGCGTGAGCACCTCAAGCATCCCGTTGAGGTCCTTGTGCCCAAAGTAACAACGCGACGCCTCGTCAATGCCCTCGAACCACAGCTCGGCCCAGAGAATCGAGACACGAATGAGCTCCTGCGACACAAGCGCCGCCTCGTCCACAAGCAGCGCAGAGTGCGCACGCATGCCGTTGAGCAGCGCCTCCGCCGCGGCCACTCGCTCCGCCGACTGCGACTTGGCCGCCACCCACAGTGGGAACACCAGCGCCTGCGGGTGCTCGCGCGCCAGCGATGAGAGCAGCGTGTGGATCGACGCAGACACCGCTGCGTCCGTGTTGTGAATCCGCGCGATAATCTGTGGCACCACGTTGAGCCAGATCCGGGACGGAATCTGCACAAACGACGCCTGCACCAGCTCAAGCACTTTGCTCTCGTGTCCGTACGTGAACCAGAGTGTCACAAGACGGAGCAGGTCCGGCAGCACGTCCGTCTGTCGCATGCAAATCGCCCGCACAAAGCCCTGCACAGCCGCAACCACGTACTTGATCACCGTCGAGCCCGAGCCACCGCTCCCACTCCGCACACGCTCGCCGCTCCGCCGCAGCGGCCCGCCCCGGCCGCTTCTGCCCATCCCATCGCTGCCAAGCTCCTCGCCGTCCTCGTCAGAGTCCGACAGCTCCAGCGACGAGACCGACGACGAGAGCTCGAGCTCGTCGCCGCCGCCGCTGCCAAACCCATTGCTTCCAATCCCGGTCTCGGTTCCAGCTCCAGCCCCAGCTCCGGCTGCCGCGGCAGCGCCAGACCCTGCCCCCACTCCGGCCTCGGCATCCGCCGCTGCCCGGATCAGCTCTGCATTCATCATGCCCCACTCGTGCCACGCCTCGTACCACTCCATGTAGTACGCCGTCGCTGCATGGAACGCATGCAGAATGCCAGACACCGCCTCGGCCTCAACACGCCCGCCCCCGTCGAGCATCACCGCCTTCTTCCACTTGCCGAGGTCCAAGTACGCCTGCGCCAACGCCTCAGAGTCGTCCGTAATGTGCTGCACAAACTCGGAGAGCGCCGCAATCGCAGCCTCACGCTCACCAGACGCCCACATGTTCCGCAGCGCCGCAAGCGAAACCCATGGCTTGGACGGCGCAAGCCCCGACGCCGGCGATGCGTGCGGCGCAAGGAGCGAGACCAGCGTCTGGTGCGAGAGCGAAATGTGCTTCGACGAAAGACAAATCGACGCAAACCGCACGAGCACGTCCTCCTGCTCCTCCGGCTTGAGCGCAAGAGACCGCACCGCAAGCAGCTGCTGCCACACCTGCACGTTCTCCGTCACCCCGTACAGCCGCTTCACCCACACCTCGCGCCGCAGCGACCGCACCTCCGGCGACTCACACTCCTTGTACGCAATCACCTCCTCAAGCTCCGCGAGCTGCTGCACGCGCACAAGCAGCGAGTACGCCCGGTTGTACGACTCGTCCACCAGCGCCACAACCTGCGTCGAGAGCACGTCGCGCGCAAGCTCGATGTACGCACGCGCACGCGGGTACTCGCCCTTGTGCACCGCAAGCACCGCATGGAAGAACGCGCCCTCCACAGTACCGGGATCCAGCTGCGAAATATACGTCGCTGCCTGGTCCCATGCGCCCAGCGACCACGCCGCCGTCGCCGCCAGCGGTGCCACAAGCCGCCGCGCTTCCTCGGGTGACGACGAGTACACAGACTGCGAGAGCGAGTCCACCGCAGACCACTCGCCGAGGGCAGAGTGGCACCGCATCATCCCCACAAGATTCTCCGCGTTGAGCGGGTCGCTCGCCGCCAGGCTCTGGTACTCGGCAAGTGCGTTGTTCCACTGCCCGAGTGTCTCGTACATCGACGAGTTGAGCTCGATGTTGTGGTACCGCTTGGCGTCCACAAGCACGCCTGATGCCGCCTCGGCGTCCTGCAGCTGGTGGTTAATGGCAATGAGCTCTTCCACAAGCGCCACGTCCTTCACCTCTTGTGCCTCGTACTCGAGCTCCTTGTACCGCAGCGCCTTGGCGTACGCGCGGCACGAGACAGCGAGCTCACCCAGCGACCGGATTGGAATCGGCAGCGCCTGCGAGTTGCGGTCCATGTACTCGGCAAGATTGAGCAGTTGCTGCAGAATCTCTGCCGGAATCGGCGCGTCAAGCGCGTCGCGCACACACCGCACAAGCTTCTCGCGCGCGCCCTCGTCCAGCTCGGTCCAGCACGAGAGAAACGCTGCGTTGAACAGCTGTCGTGCCAGGGGATAGTAGCTCTGTGCCATCGTCCCGCACGCACGCAGCGCAGGCGCCGAGCTCTGCTTCAGCTGCATAACAGACACCCGCCGGATCCACTGCATCCACTCTTCCTTGGTCGTCACCTGCACAATCCGCCACGCCCCAAGCAGCGGCCGCGTCGAGACCGTCATCTTGCCCGGCGCACGGGTCCCGGCCCGCAGCGTGGCCTCGGTCTCGTCGAGCCCGGTCGCGCGCGACCACGGCAGCGACTCCGGCAGCTCCGCTCCAACCGTCAGCGCTCGCGCCAGTCCGTCAAAGCCCTCATTGTGGACCGCGAGGTGCGTAAACGTCGACGTAATCGCCGGAAGGAAGATCTTGTATTGCTTCCCGAGATGTGCCGCAAACACGCCGAGCACCCAAACCGCAGACTGGATGAGCTCGCGCCCAGACGCCGAGCTGAGCCCGCCCGCCCCGGCCTCGCCGCTACCGCCGCCGTCTCCAGTGCCGCCGTCGTCGTCGCCCTTGCCCGACACTACGCTTCCGCCATCGTGACCACCGATGCCAGGGCCAGCGCTCAGGTGGCCTGATCCCGCTCCACCGCCGACCGGCGACGCAAACGACATCGAGAGCGAGAGCGAGGAGAGCCCCAACCCGCCGCCAGCCCCACTCACCGACCCGTCGTCGCCGCCGCCGGCCCCGACCCCGCGGTAGTCAATAACCCCGAGTGCAGATCCCGAGCCACCGCGGCTAACACGCATCCCGCCCTCGATCACCGCAAGCAGTGCGTGAATGATCCGAGACGCGTGCGCAGAAAAGTTGTGCACAAGCAGGAGTGAGCCGAGCGTTTGAACCGCTGTCAGCCGCGTCCGCACCGGCACGAGCTCAGACTCAAACATGTGGATAATCGCCTCGAGCACAAGATCCGCATAGTGGTCGAGCGCAGAGCCAAAGGTCTGGAAGCCCGCCAGAATCCGCGGCCCGTTGAAGACCGGCTCCGCCTCGAGCATGCCCAGCAACCGCGGGAGCAGCCGCGGGAGGAACGACTTAAAGTCGTCCGGCAGAATGATGGAGATTTCTTCCACCAGCGCCACAAGCTGGTTCACAATCGACGCGTCCCAGTACGTCACCACAAGATCAAAGAGCTGCGGGAGGAACGGCCGGATGTGCTGCTTGACCGTGTGCACCAGCGTCGAGAGGTTCTGAAAGAGCGACTCGCGGTAGACAGGCTCGCACGACCGGATGAGCGGGAAGAGAACAGGAATGAACTCCTTGAGGAACGGCGCCGTCTTGTTCATCCCAATCGAGTGGAAGATCTGCATCAGCGCTGAGACCGCAAGCTTGTGGTGCCGCGCGAGCGTCGAGCTCTTGAGCACGTACATGACGCACGCCACCGCCACCTGCTCATAGTACTCGCCCGACGACGGCGACAGCAGCCGTAGCTGCGACGCCAGCGGCAGCTCCTGCTCCTCCTCTGACGGTGGCGGTGCGCCGGTCCCAGACCCGTCCCCGCCGCCCGCTCCACCTCCTTCGCTCGTCAACGCCAGGCTACCGGCCCCGCTCTTGGGCTTGGCGCGCTTCGACGACGCCTGCTCGTGCGCCACCCGCGCCTGCTCGGCAATGACAAACGGGTCGAGCGCTCCCAGCGATCCGATGACCTTGATGACCAGCCGCCGGATCGCCACCTGCTGCGATGTCTTGAGCACGTTGAGCAATGTCGTGAGCAGGTGCGGGTAGTCGATGTACGGCTGAATGACCGTTCCAGTGTTGACCACAAAGTCGCCAAGCGTCCGCAGCGCCACATACCGCTTCACCGTCGACGACGAGTCCGACAGCGCCTTCATCAGGAGCGGGAGGAGCGTGTGGACATAGACCGTCAGCTGCGAGCCGCCCACGTGGCAGCACTCGCCAATCGCCCGGAGCACGTGCGCGTTGAGCAACGGGTTGTCGCCGTCGGCAAGCATCGGAAGCAGCCGCTTCATGATCGGCTGCACGTAGTGCTTGGCCACCGCCGGGCAGGCGTGGATGAGAATGCCGAGCATGTGCGCCGCCTCCTCGCGAGTCACAGGGTCCAGCGAGAGCTCCAGCAGCGTGAGCAGCCGCATCAGTGTCGACCGCATTGCAGGCAGCACATACGCCGGATTTTTGGTCGAGAGCCGGCCCACAATCCGGAGGCCCATCTCGCGAATCCGGAGCACTGGGTCGTTGACCGTGAAGAAAAACGCCCGCAGATTGTCTTCTTGCGCCAGAAACAGGTCGAGCGTGTGCTCCGAGACCCCGGTCTCGCCGCTCGCCCGCCCAGGCTCTGCGAGCGGGTTGAGTTCCTGCGGCGGATGCGAGTTCGCTGCACCGCCCGAGTCGCCCTTGGTCAGCGCCGCCACTTCGGCGGCGTGCGACGTGACCTCCAGCGGGCCAGCCGGCGACGGCGGCCGCTGCGCCCGCTCCAGCTCGCTCCGCTCCAGCCCGCCCAGCGCGGACATGTCGAGGAGGAGCGCCCGTGTCCGTCCGGTCGCCGCAAGCACGTACGCGTGGCCCGGGTGCGCCGACGGCTCCACGCCTGCGGGCAAAATGAGGAACGACGAGACCGCAGACGGGAGTGGCGCCACCGTGCCGCGAGCAAGGAGGCTGCTCGCCGACGCCATCGCGGCCGACGAAGCACCTGAGACAACCGGCGACGTCGCCACTGTCAACGGCGTGCCCATCCCCGACGTGAGGCCTGTAGCACCGGAGCCTGGGGAGTTGCTCGGCCCGCTTGCAGAAGCAGCCTTGAGGTTGCGGATCTCGGCGAGCGATGCCTCAGCGAGCACGTCGCGGAAGACAAGGCCGGTGGGAAAGGTGGCGTTGAGGAGGACGTGTTCTTGGAAGAGGAGCGCGAGCCGCGGCTCGACCGCTGCTGCCGCCGCTACGTCGTCGAGCGGCGCGCCGAGGACAGTGCCGTCAGGCGCCGTGGCCCGCGCGCCGGCAGTCCGCAGCCGCGTCGCCGCAAACAGCCGCGCCGGGTACACCACCGGCGAGCCGGAGAAGAGCTGGCGGAGAACCTCGAGCCGCACCTCGGGCTCGCGATCAGAGACGCACACAATGAGCAGCCGCTTGAGGATGCGGTGCACAAACTGCGGCGAGGTGGCCTGTGACGGCTGCGAGATGAGCTTGCAAATGGTGATCGCCGCCTGCTTGCGGATGACCGGCTCCGGATCCTCGAGGTATGAAAAGACCACGCCCTCCAGAAAGTCGTGCAAAAAGTACGAGACAAAGTCAAACATGGAGAGTGTCTTGAGCGCGAGGACTTTGGCGGCCGTCGACGACTGCGACGCTGCAAGAATGCCCATAAACTGTGGCGAGTGCAAGAGCGGCTCGAGGTGCGAATGGGTGGCGACGTGCGCAGGAGTGCCCGGGTGTCGGAACGGCGCGCCGGCAAGAATGAGAGAGACGAGATCGAGAAGCTTGTAAAACGCCACGTCCGCCAGGTCCGGCAAGTCAGTCGCAATCGAGAGCACCGTGTCGATGAGCTCCTCCGAGAGGCCAAGCCCAAAGAGAGCGTCAAGGTTCGGCGTAAGCGCTTCGAGGAACGACGGGCCGAGCGCAGTCGCCAGTCGCGCCACCGTCGTCAACGCCTGGAGGCAGACTGACGACGCCCGCTTCTTGAGAGTCAGCGCCGTCTTGCACCAGCCCATGATGTCCTTGAGGTACGGCGTGATGTGGTGCTGGACCGCAAGCGCAAGGTCGCCGAGCGCGAGGAGCGTAACCGAGCGGAGGAGCGACGACTTGTCGCGCTCGCGCTTGAGGATTGAGAGCGAGGACTTGACCACCTTTTTGAGGTGGAGCGAGACAAAGGTGGCCACGTCGAGCGCGGCAAGGAGTGGGCTCAGCCGCAGCGCGCACATCCGCGTGTCGACAAGCCGCGCATCGCGGAGGCCCACAACCGCCTGAGTCAGCGACTCGGTGTGGGTCACAAACCGCGAGCCAGTCAGCAACACAATGTGCGACATAGTCATGAGCGCGCCATGGACCGCCGACGGCGACTTGAGTACCGACGAGCTGACCGTCGGCCCACCCGAGCTCGACGCGCCTGCAGGAGGCGCCGGCGAGTTTGGTCGGGTCAGGCCCGTCGGCGTGTCGGCAATGATGATGGTCGACGGGCCGAGGACCGCAGAGACGTGGGAGTAGTGCTCGAGCTCGTTTGAAAGCACCGCGAGCTTCTTCTTGGGAATGGCCGACGACGAAAAGATGAGCGTGTTGCGCGCCCGGGTAAAGGCCCGCCGCGCAAAGTTGGTCAGCCCGGCCGCAGACCGCGGCTGGAGCGCAAGGAGAATCGAGGCAAGGAGCTCTGCGGCAACTTCGCGGATGGCCATATCGTCGTCGATGATGCCCTCCCACACACAGTCAAAGAGATCAAGCGGGCGGAGTTCCTTGAAGAAGAGCGTGGTATACTTGAAGAACTGCGCAGGCGCGGCACGGACAAGCACCCGCAGCGTGAGCACCGCCGCCAGCCGGTGGCCGGCCACCCGCGAGACCATCAGCCACTCGAGCGCACGGTTGACCTCAAACTCGACAATGAGATCCGACTGTAGAATGGTGTTGGACCGGGCAACGAGCTTTCCGAGCGTTGCCGCCGCCGCCGCCATCACCTCGGGCGAAGAGCGGGGCATACAGTTCTTGAGCAAGTTGGCAAAGCGAGTGACCTTGAGCGCATTGTCGGCGACCTCGATTTCTAACAGTGCTGAAATAGCCAGCACGCCCCCGAGCTTGGACGCAGGCCTCAGTGCAGAACCAACCATCATACCATGGATGGCGGCGTAGACTGAGTTGAGAAAGTCGGTGAGCGACTCTCCCCGCTCACGCTTCAACGCCACATTCACAAACTCTCGCAGGCTACCTGCCGCCGCCTCGCGGACCCTTGGCGAGCTGTGCACATTCCACATGCTGCTTGGTTAGTCCCATTCCGCTGCCTTGTCCATCACCCACTCGGTTGGCTTCTGTGTGGCGAACATGCGAAATTTGGTTGAAGGCGGTGCGCTGCGGGAGGGGGGGGGGAGGAGCTACCGACCCGGGTGGGAGGGGAGGGGGGGGGGGGGTTAGGGAGGGAGGGGGGAAGGGAGGAGGAGGGCATGGTAGCTTACGGGTCCTCGAGGTCGCGGAAGATTCCCTCCATGCCGCGCGCTGAGAGTTGTGTTGTGTTGTGTGAGGTCGGGGCTGGTGGTGGTGTGGTGGTGCTGGGCCTCGTTGCTTTCGGCCCGCCGGCTGTGGGAGTCGGTCAGCTGGCTGACGGCAAGCTGGCTGAGAGAGCGAAGATACAGGGTGGTGTTATGCGAGGTTGGATCGGATTCAGGCTGAGACCGGACTACAAGAGCGGGACAATTCCGATGGTGGGCTGAGCAGAGGAAAACGGGTTGGTGGCCGCCGATGGCTTGGTCGGCGTGGCAGCGGCAGAGACGGCGGCGGTGGACGCTGCAGTGGCTCGCGAGCACATGAACCGCTCAAACGAGTCGTCGAGAGGGTTGGAGCCGCCTGGAGATGAAGCTGCCGAATTGGTCGACTGCGCCGCGAGCGGAGCACGGATCGGCGAGAACGAGATCAGCTTGGCGATAGGCACCGCGACAGGTGCGGGCGCAGGGGCAGCGCTGAGCGTCCCCTCGGCGTTCTCGGTGTTCTCGGCATTCTCGACATTCTCGGCAGCTGCAATCGGAGCTGAGTGGGACGGTGATGGAATGTCGGCCACGCGCTGGGCAGCGAGAATCTTAGAGACCTCCTTCCAATGTGCACGGATAGCCGAGCCAGACGTGGCCTTACGCTTGCCGGCGACGGTGCAGTCGGCGAGGCGGGCAATGTCGGCGTCGGCGAGCGAGCGGTGAAGCGCGAGCATTTTGATGGCGCGGAGAGCAAGCACAGTGCTAGAGAGATCCGACGAGACCGCATTGGCATCGAGGCAGGCAATGAGCGCGTCGACGGCGCCCCACTGGAGGATGTCGGCGTGGACTCGCGGCGTGGCGGCGAGATTGTTGAGGATGCGGACGGCGTCGGCACGGAGAAAATCGTCTTCGGCCACCATGGGCGAGGCCAGCGCAGTGCAGAGTGAGCGGAGAAAGTACATGTCCGGAGCGGCAAACTTGATGCGGTTCGAGCCGTGCGCCGAGAGCATGGCGTACGCCCACAGCGCACCGCGAACCGCGCCATAGCTGCCAGACTCGAGCTGTCTCGAGAGGAAGTGGAGCTCGCGCTCCGAGACCACAAGCGGCTCCAGCTGGCGGGTCGCCGACTCGGCCAGAGTCCGGGTCCGCGCCAACTCGCGGATGTACGCCCGCTTGGAGATGGCGGCGTTGAGCGTGGCCGCCCACGAGTTTGCGGTAGTCTCGGACTTGAATGCCAGAGCCAGCCGCTTTTTGCCATCCACCACCACCAACCGGTGGCCGAACGAAACGTTGCCCTTGGCATCGGTGAGCGTGGCCGCCACCGTCGACCGCGAGGCTGAGACACCCAGCTGGGCCGCGATCCGCGCCGAGGCGGTGAAGCCGTCGTCGCCAAACGAGTTGAGCTTGAGGGCATTCTTGACCTTGGGCGCGGCCAAGGTCAGGCAATCACCCGAGAGCGAGATGAACTGCCGGTTCCACTTGGACTTGCCGCTCTTGACCAGCAGATACCCGACGCAGCCTTTGGACGGCTGTGCTGCCGACGTCTCGCACAGGACCTTGATCCATGCAGACCGGGTCTTGGGGTTCTGGCACGCGCACACCAGCGTCTTGCCATCAATGGTGACTGTAAAGATGTAGGGATGCGGGACGCGCGCCGATGTCTCCGGATCGCGGAACCTGTGGTGTGGAGGGTAAGGGTGAGGGTGAGGGGGGTTCGGAGCTGGGTTTTTTTCAAATTTTGTTGTTGCAAGGTGCGGTCCGGCGCGCCATGCGGGAGGTGCCTGCCGATGAAGGGCAGGGAGAGCAGGGCAGCTGCAAGAGAGGGGGGGCATGGTGGAAAGGTGGCGTACACAGGGCCTTCATCGTTGCAGACGGAGGCTTGTGTGGATGCGGTGACGGTGAGGGTCGACTTGACCTTGTGTTCAAAGCCGTACAAGGTGGCGGCCTTGACCACAAAGTACCGGCGGGACCACTCGGTCGGTTTGGTCTCCACCCAAGCGTAGCCTTGCTTGCTGTAGGGCGGGAAGACAATGTTGGGCTGCTCGCTAGCAAGAGAGTTGCGCCGCCGCTGGATAACAGGTGACGACACCTCGTTGTCGAGCATAGACAGTGCCCGGAAGCCGCTCATCGATGCCATGTGTGGTCGGCGGAGAGGGTGTGGCGCGACGAGTGGCCGGTGGTTCGGCGGCTCGGCAACGGCCGCGGCTGTGCGAGTCGGTGGCACCGCGTGGTGCTCAGTACGGGCGATTGCGGACCCGGACGTGGATGATCGAGTTGTCGCAGGTTCCCGAGACGTCTTCGGCCCGCGTGGTGGAGAGGACAGGGAACTTGCGGACAAAGGCGCCGTACCGGCCGTATGCACGCTCGAGCATAAGCTCGCGGACCTGAGCAGGGTTGGCCAAGATGGCTTCCGGCGTGGTCCTCTGTGCCTGCGCGACAACAGGCAGGTCATCAACAACGTGGTCGTAGAGCTCGCGCGCCTCAGCGTCGGACGGCATCCGCGTCCCGCGTACAACAACGTACTTGGGCATGCGCCCGGTCACAGACAGTGCAATGTCCGACCGCTTGAGGCCAGGCACCACCGCCATGAGATGCAGATGCTCGACCGTCCGGCGCGTGTCCCACATTGGCCGCAGCTCAAGCTTCCGCCACGCCTCGCGGGAGATGACAGGGACAGCGGCTGGAGGTGATGACGCCGGCGGCGCGGCGGTGCCAGTGCTGGAGCTGGCGCCAGTGCTCGCCCCGCCGCCGGCCTTGCACCGCTCGAGCCGGGCATCGAGCTCGTTAAGCAGGACCGACGAAGAAGCCAGCAGCTGACCGACTGCCTCGATGGCCTCAACCTTGCGGGCTCGGACGTCAGGCGCGGCCGCAAGGCCGGTGAGCGCGTCGAGTGCAGTCTCGTGGCGCATCAGCTTGCCGTGCAGCTCGCGCGCAATGTTGAGCTTTGACTTGTAAAACTGCAGCAGTTCATCCGAGTCGTGTGGCGGGAGCCGGGCCAGCTTCTCCACGTGGGTCATCCGCGACCGAATGAGCTGGACTGAGTTGACCACGCCATTGATGGCGACCAGCGCTTGCTGCGCCGCCGACTGCTCGACAGGCACGCTCTCCTCGTCACCATTTTCGGCATGATTGGCGGCGCTCGAGTCTGCCCCGGTTGTCGGAAGCACAGACGAGGCTGGGTCGGCAGGAGTGGCGGTGCCGGCAGCGGGGGCGGCGGGTGCAGCGGATGCGGCCGCGGCAGTGGCGGCCGCACGACGGCCGTCGAGCGCACTGATCGCCGCCGTCATCGCCCGCATCATGTTCACCACATGCCGCGCGTACCGAAGATCCGGCTCAGAGGTAGTGACGGTCAGCACCTCGAGCTGGCTGGCCAGTGCCTTGGCCTCGGCCGCCAGCGCAACAGCCACCGCCGCAGACTGGGAATCGGCGCCGGCCTCAGCGGCCGCGATCTCCGCCACGTAACCATCAATCTGAGCCGGAGTCAAATCCGCCCATGTCCGGCCATTGCCTCTAGCCAGCACAGCCTTGACCAGACCATTCACTGCTGTCATCTCGCGGAGCTCGCCCTCGCCCTCGCCCTCGCCCTCGCCCTCGTCCCCGCCCGAGGCCGCCAGCTCGTCCGCCAGCGCATCCAGAGCGGAGGCTACCTGTGATGAGACATGGATGGACGACGATGACGGCGCGGATGATGATGGCACGGATTCAGCGCCAGCCGAGTCGACCCCAGCCACGATACAAGCCACCGTCTCGGCCGCCCGCGACAGGACTCGCTTCGCCGGCACCGACGGCACACTCCGTGGCTTGGCCTCCCAGTACACAAGCAGCTCTTCTAGAAGTTCTGCTGACGCCAGCTTGACGACAGCCCGCTGGCGGTGAAGATAGAGTGTTCGGTACTCGGGCGTGGTGTTCATGACCTGGGGAGGGGGGGGGGGAGGGGGAGAGTGGTGTGCGTGTGCGTGTGCGTGTGTGTGTGCGTGTGCGTGGCCTCTTCGGCGCTGCATCGGCGGTCGTCAACGATTGGCCCGATTGGTGGCATATGAGGGAGAGGGGGGGGGGGGATCTTATTGAGATTGTAGATGGATAAGGATGGGTGGGTGATGGGTGACGGACGGCATGGGTAGTGGCCCAGACCCATCCGTGCGTGGAGGGTGGCCAGGTCGACCAGGTCGATGGACGCGGGGGCGCAGAAGACGACGCTGGATATCGCGAGGCGAGCTACGATGGGCTGCAGATCGGGTCCGAGTCGGTCGCAGGATGTCGCACCTTGTCGCTCGTCACAGATCGCAGCTGGGTGTAGTTGACGACAGGTTAATCCATGAGCGGCCGCGTAGCAGCAGCATCAGGATAGAGACCGATCGTGCCCACCATGTCTGCGATTCGCCGGACAAGCCAGTTGAGGCGCTGATGCTCGACGTGTGGCGAGAGTCGGTCATGGGGGCGTCGGCCCGTAGACGGCGTCGCGTTGTGCAAACTGAAAGTAGCCCTCGGTCGATGCGGCATCAAGAGCCTCTCTCAGGCCTGGCGTCGAGTCGATCCGCATGGGCTGAACCTTGAGCGGAGAGCCAGCAAAGAACAGGCCGTCATAGACGCGGATGGCGTAGACAATGGCAGCAGGGCCGTCTTCAGTAGCAAAGGTGACAAAGGCGTAGCTCGCGCCGGCCGGCCGGTGGACCGAGGCAATGGGCGCGGACTGGGCAAAGAGCTCTGTGAGCAGCTCAGGTGTGGCCTCGTCAGTGAGATTGCCCACGTATACGCTTGCAAACGGATCAATAGAGGACCTTGACCCCATGTCGTGTCTCGTGAGTCGTGTGTTATGTTCGTGGCGGACCGAGCGGGGAGGAGAGGCGGAGAAGAGGGATGGAGCGCAGATCGTCGAAATCGTTCATATGGCAGAGACACCACGAGTCCAGGCTGCATGAGTCTGGGGGACTGGATGGAGCTGACTGTTCTGATCAGGCGGATATCCCCCCCGATCTACCCGCCTCTCAAATCCCTCACTACCGCAAGGATCTGCCCGCTTTCCCCCCCCATCTGCCCGCCTCTCAATCCTCACTACCGCACCCACTC